CGGGGGGCCGGCCGACCCGCGGCTGCCCCCCGGCCCCCCACCACGCTGCACGTGGCCCTGCAGCCCGGGGAGCACCGACGGGGCCGAGCGGCGAGCCCCACGTCCCACGGCGTCCCCATCCTCGCCCCGAGCCACCCATCCTAATTTTGGTGGCGGAGGATGCGGGAGGCCAAACCAGTTGCCCTCAGCACCCTCCACTGCTGCTGCGCCTCGCGTTGCCCGGCCATCAGCGTCCCCTTGGGGTATCCCTCACTCGGACCATCGCGGAGAAGCCCTTCTCGGAGACGCAGGCGAAGGATGAACGGGATCACCAGCGCAGGAGGAAAGGAGCACCGGTTCCTTTATCGCGCCAGGTTTTATCAGGCACGCCAAGCTTATCCCTCGTGATTTTTGCTGGAAGGCTTCGTGGAGGTCTCCGAAGATAAATGCCATCAGTGCCGCCAACCCGCTGGAGGAGGGAGCGTGCTGAATCCTAACGCTGGCCTGACTCCGAAACAACTGCTTCGCGTCGCTCACGTTACAGGCTCTTGTCCCTTGCTGTTAAAATTCCGTCTGTTTTCTGTGTGCCACAGTCTTCCCAGACAAAAAAACTTCTACTTTTCGAAAATGATAAGGTGATACAGTTCTCAAATAACGCTGATGACAGCATAGTCCCAGGAAAACGTTTTCGAGTAACTACGCAATGAGAGAGGTGGACAAAAACCATTAGGATCTGTTTGTATTAACTGCCATTCTACTTAATTCATATATATTGTTTTTAAAAATACATTAATAGAACCAGAAGTAGCCTTTTTTGTTAAGGAATGACTTTTCCCATCCAGGACAATCGTCAGATATTTTCTTTGCCGATAAAATGCTCTTTTAAGAAATGCAGAGAGAAAGAAATACGGTCGGAAGTGTCGGGGGTGAATCCCCACCGACGCACCCTCTTCGCAGCACCTAAATCCCCGCTTGGGCAGCGGCACGAGCGCTCGGCGGGACGCAGGCCCCGAAATCCCCGACGCGGGCCCCGAAAACGCCCGCGGACCACC